CCCGAAAAGGCCCCCAAGAGGCGCTCAGGAGCCCCTCGAGAGGCGCCCAAGAAGCATCCCAGGAGGTCCCAAGAGGCATCCAAGAGGACTCCAGCGCACACCCCGCGCACGGAGGCGGGATGGAGCGAAGACCACTAGATAAGGGTTCACTAGGTGAGAAGAGATAGAAAAAACAGAGAATCTAGAAGAAGATATGGGCTGACCTGGAATCGAAGAGATCGACGACTTGGCAAGCTCAGAAAAGCAGCAGAAACCAAAAGAAAAACATAATAAAAGGAGTCAGAAAGCTGACATCATAAGACAAGTCAGACAGTGGGCTCGGTAGTGCTGAATTGTTATCAGGGCCACATATGGTAGATTATATACAACAGTCCTAGTAACCAGGAGAATTGCAACATGTCAAAGAAGGTTGAGGGGAGCTAGCGAGGTTAAAACTCTTAGCACAGGTAAACAAGCTCCAACAATCGAGCGTGGGACAAATGAGATAGCTGGAAGAGCAAACATATGGCCAGCACCACGCGCAGCCACTCACAACCAGAAGCTCCCCCCCTGCCCGCCACTCTCATACCCCACCCCCCCACCCCCCACCCGAAAAAAAGCATGAGAAACACACACACACACACACACACACATGATCACTAGAAGGTCCCCTAGCATGCACAATGACAATGGCAACACCTGCTTCGCACAATTGCGACGCATTTAGATCCAATCGACTTGGCGCGTGCAGCGTTCTCCCACGAAACATTAGCACGGCCAAAAGCATGTGCTGCCGATCACTGTCTGCACTCCCAGTCTGCACTCCCAGTGGGGAGAACACAACAAACACCGTTCGGAAGTTCACCATGAGCTCTGTAGAAAAACTGGATACGTACAAGTCTGGTGTACCTTTCGATGGCCCAGACAGGGCCTCACCCACATCCTCCTGCAATTCCTCCTGCACTTCCTGCTCATCCTCATCCTCCTCCTCCTCCTCCTGACCCTGCTCCTCATCCATCTCCTCCTCCTCCTCTTCCTCCTCCTCCTCCTCCTCCTGCTCCTGACCCTGCTCCTCCTCCTCCATCTCCTCCTCCTCCTCATCCTCCTCCTCCTCGTCCTCCTCCGCCTCCGCCTCCGCCTCCTCTCCCTCAGTCTCTCAAGTCTCGTTGCTTCCAGACTTCATCAACGCGCAGCTGCTGGGAACAGCACTTCGCCACCCCTATTGGCCGAGAGGACCTGAGCAGCATCGATTCAGCGTATTGCCTTGATCGGGCTCGAAAGGGTGATATAGCAAACATGTTCATTAGAACCAGGCGCGCGCTTCGCGCGCGCTTAGGTTCTAGCGCAGACTGGGAAAGCAGCTCAACAACGGACGGAGAAGAGTCAAATCTCAAAGGCTAATCGCCACGGATCGCCAGAGCGAAGCATCGAGGTCGTCATACTCATCACCGTCCTACTGTCCATTGCCCTCTTCTCCTCCCAATTCTCATCAGGATACCTCCTCCGTTGCTTTCTCTGCTCATTCTTCTCTGATCCTCTCTCTACTCTTCTTTCTCTCTCTCTCTCTCTCTCTCTCTCTATATATATATCCCTCTCTCTCTCCCTCTCTCTCTCTCTCCCTCTCTCTCTCCCCCTCTCTCTCTCTCTCTCCCTCTCTCTCTCTCTCTCTCTCACTGTCCCTCTCTCTCTCTTTCTTTGTTTCCATCCTTCATCCTCCCATTCCCCCTCCCCCCTATCCCACATGTTTTCTCTCCTGGCTTTATAATCCGTATCATCGCCATCGAGACATTCATAGCTCGAGGCGACGGATTGTAGCAAGGATGATAAAAGAGTCTGGTAGGCTCCCTTGCCCTCACCCCCACTCTCTTCTGTTGTACTTCAACCCACTGACTGCATTCCCTTCCTCTACATTCCGAGCGTTAGAACGCACTGCGCGCTCGCTCCTGATGAGGGTGATGAGGGGAATCCTGCGGAACTTTGGGACTGACTAACTACTCTCGGGAGAAGGGGGGGCCCTCATGGGGATTCTTCGAACTTTTCGGGAACGGCGTGGGCGAAGATCCTGGAAGGAGGATTATTGGGGAAGCAGGGACATGTTGGACACTAAACTGGAGCTCCTATGGGCCGCCTTAAGGCTCTCTTGAGCCGTCTTGGGGCTTTCTTGGGGCCTTCTTGAGTCTGACTAAGGGGCGCTTGGACCGTATTGGAGCGACTCGGGAGGCCCCTCGGGCCGCCATGCCCGTCTTCGGGTCATCTTGGTCCGTGTTGGGGGGCTCTCGGGCTGCCTGAGGGCCACCTTAGACGCCCTACTGGGGCCCTTGGGGCTCTCTTGGGCCACCTTGGGGCTGTCTTAGGCTATCTTAAGGCCCTCTTGAAGGCTTTGGGGCGGTCTTGGGGCGACTTGGAAGACCCCTCGGGCCGCTGTGGGCGGTCAGAAAACCGAAGAAGCGAGAACGCTAGAAACCTCAAAAATCCGAAGGAAATACACAAGTTGGGCCTCTCGAGGCGAGAGCTCTTTGGGCCCCCTCGGGCTGCCTTGGGGCGCTCTTGAGCAGCCTCGGGGCCCCCGTAAGCCTCTGCGAAGACGTCATTGGGCAAACTTGGCGGGCCCCTTGGGACACCCGGTGGCTCCGGGAAGCTCGACGGGACCCCTGGCACACCAGTCGCCAGTCGACGAGCCGGCCTGGGGATCCCTGGCCCCAGTCCCCCGCTATCTGTATACAAGGCCTGGAAACATCCCTTGGGGCCGAAGGAAGGGGGGGATAGGGAAAGGGGGGGGGTTACGAAATCTGATGCGTGCAGCTGGTTTCGGTCCCGCCGCCAGGCCCATTCCTCGATACATGGGCGCCTCTGGCGCTGGGAGGCGCCAGGAAAATCAGCTACTTGAGCTGATTCTCAAACCCCCCCTCTGCTATCCCCCCCTTTCGCCCGGCCCGATTCCTGCTTGGCCTGAATCCGAATCAGAAGACGGGATGTCACTGCAGGAAGCGCGCACACAGAAAAGCACTACATAGCCCAAAGAAAAACGACTGCTCGCTGATTAAGGCTGCACTGCTGAGTCGTCACTACCCCGGTCAATCCTCGCACGGGCTGCGCTGTTGACTCGCACTGTTTGGCTTGAAGGCACTGCCACTGCACACCCCGCTGACTGGCAAGGGGGGAGGGCCTCTATCGTCTGGCGGCCAGCGTACAGCGTGGGCACGTCCCGCACCTCGCGCGGATCCCGGCAAGAGAAGGACCAGCGGTACGATGCAGGCACCGCGCCCACCCGAAGCGCGCTCTCTTCGTCGAGGAGAGCGTCATCTGACGGGGGCGGAGGAGGAACGAGCAGGAGAGGGGGGGGGGGTCGGGGGGGGACCGAGCAAGCCGAGGTCCGCAGCGAGCGCAGAGGGGGCAGCACCGACGGAGCGGCACCTGGCCGGAGGGCCGGCTTGGTCCCCGAGGCCCAAGTGGTGGCACTACTGTCCCGCCCCGTGACGCGGACCGCCAGAAGCCCAGCCACCATCCGAGAGGGGCAGGAGGCCCGGTCCCTCTGCGGGACCTGGTCGGGCGGGCGCCTTCCCACAGGCGCGGTAGCCAACGCCAGAGAGGGCGAGGTGATCGGCGTTGTCCACGCCGTACTTCAGCGCTGCGACCTTGCCGCGGGTGCCGTCGCCTGAGGCGTAACTGCTGCGGCCGTGGGCGCCGCAATTGCCGCAGGCACCGTAACCGTAGCAACGGGTGCCGCAGCCGCACGCACCGTGGCCACCAACGTGAGTACAGAGCCGCGGGTGTCCTTAATGTCGGCGCCGCAGTCGCACGCGCAACGGGAGATCTGCGGCCGTCGGTGGCGCAGCCAAATCCGTAAGCGCCGTAGCCACAGACGCCGTAGCAGTGGTGGGAGGTACCGCAGACGCGGCCGCGCAAGTGCCGAAGCCGGAGGAAGCGAAGCCACATGCGTCAGTGCCGTGGCCGTAAATTGTACGCGCCGTGGCCGCAAATGAGTCGCATGCCGCGGTGCCGTGGCCGCTGGCGCCGCTGGCGCACGCGCCGCAAGCGCAGGTAGCGTAGCCGCGGCAGCTGCTGCAGCAAATGCTCGAGACATACGTAAGCGCTGGCGGCGGTGCCGTAGCCGTCGCCGTAGGTGCGCAGCCGTGGGCGTAGGTGCCGAGGCCGCAGCTGCCAAAGCAGCAGATGCCGAGATCGCGGGCGCAGGTGCCGAAGCCGCGGGTGGCTTCGCCACCGCTGCCAGAAGCGCTGGCGGCGCGCTTACCATCGGCGTAGCCGCCATAACCGTGCCCGGAGCCTGATATCCAGCGCGCTTGAGGTCGCTGTGTACGACCGCAGTTTGAGACTTCGCCTCGGCTGCGTGGAGCGCAATCACTGCGAGAAGGAGGGCGGAGGAGGGAGGAGAAAGAAGGAGGGCACCCCCGCTCTCCTCAGCGAGAGCCACGGGGAGGCAGAGAAGCCGCCGCGCGCCTGGCCGCCGCCCCTCCCACTTCCTTCTGCGGCGGGCGCCACGCGGAACCGCGCGACCACCGGGAAGTGGTCCGAGGGCGGCGGGCCCCCCGCGGCGGCGGGGCGGCCGCCGGTGGCGACCTCGAACCCGGCCTGCTCCAGCCGCTGGCCGCGCCACAGTATCCAGTCGATGTGTCCGCGTCGGCGGTGCGCACCCAAGGGAGCAGCGGCGAGGGAGGAGGCCCTGCGAGCAGCCCGGGAGGGGGCCCCTCGGGCGCCCTCCCGCCTTCTCGAGGGGCCATCCTGGAGGCGGCCGGTCCCACCTGAGAGGCCCCTCTGCCTTCTTAGAGCAGGGCGAGTTGAGACAGCGGCAGCTCGAAATCGATCCCCGAGCCATTCCCGAGGTCCGAACGCACCAGTGTAGCGAGCTGCGTCCAGCCGTGGTGCCGAGGGGCCCTCCCGAAGGCCAACTACCGTTGTCTCAAATCGCCCTCCTCTGATTAGAAGGCCGCCCCCCTTGCCCTGCCCCCCTTTGCGCGCCGACGGCTGTGGCTCGCTGGCGGGCCGAGCGCTCTGGCGTGGGCCTCTGGCTGCCAGGCATGGAAGGTGCACAGCGGCACGAGGTCGTCGTTGCTGGACTCGGCGCACGCGTCGCGGAACCCGGCCGTGCGGAACTCCGCGAACACGCCCCCGCAGCCGCCGCCCGGCCCGCGCTGCTGACAGTTGAAGTCCCCGGTGACACAGATCCCCATCGCGTCATGAAAAAACCCGACGGACGATTTTTGGCATTCGGGGGCTCTTACAAGTCCTCGAAACCGTCAAAAACGACTCAGCGTGAAAAACCAGGCCCCAGGGAGGGGTCCAGACCGATGGGGGTCAACGTTATGAAAAAACATGACGTCGGGGGTCTGGGGACGATGCTGCCCGCGAGCTCGCCGCACCCCTCGGGCGGCCCCTGCGCCTCCAGCTCCGCCACGCGGGAGACGATCAGGCGGGAGGCCAGTGCGCGAGCTTCCTGCGATCTATGATCAAGGTGGGTGTTCAGGTGCAAGATGCACGCCCCCGCGGGGCCTGCAGCGCCGCCGGCCCCCGCCTCACGGACCCTAAACCACGCATACGTTGCGATGCGAGGGCAGGCCGTGCCCCAGGACTTCGAGCCGAGCCTTTCCGGCGTGGAGGAGAGCGCAAACGTCCCGTGGCCCAGGCACTCCACGGAGCTCTGGTTGTAGAAGATGGCGCAGTGCTCGCCCGCGGGAATCCACCTACAGAGGAGATCCCGCGCCACGCCCACGTATCTCGGCGGCGCGCAAGCGGGGGGGCAGGCAGGGCGGGGGGCGGCCCCCCTGCGCAGGCAGCCTCCCTCTCCCGAGGCCCCCCCTGCCGTCTCGGAGAGACCGTGCCGCTGGGAAGGGGCTGGAGCCCTTCCGCGAGGCCCCCCCCCCGCCCTGCCCCTGTCCTCTCGGGAGGCCGCCCCCCCCTGGCCCTGCCCCCTCGCGGCGCGCCGCCCGGCATCCGTAGGTCGCACCGCGAGCCGCCAGCGCACCCTGGAGCTCCCGCAGCTGATGCGACAGGCCCTCCTGCGTCCCCACCACGTCCGCGGCCATGCCCGCGATGAGCGCGGCCGCGGGTGCCCGCCGGTCCTGCCAGCAGCGCCCCTGCCTCCGGTCGTCAGCGTTGTCGTAGCGGAGGTTGAGGGTCGGCAACTCCGAAGGGTGTGGTCTGCAAGGTGCGTGTGGCTTGCAGCGCGCACCCCAGGGGCGGGCAAGGACCTCGACAAGGGTCTCCGCCGCGCCCCGAGGAGGCCCGACGAGGGCAACGTGATGCCCCTCAAGCCCCAACGGCGCCGAACGCAAACCTAGAGGCCTCCCAGATGGTGTCCGAGTAGATGGGGTCGGAGGATCGCGCCAGATCGCCGATGCACCGGCGACGCATCGTCGATGTTGGCGGTGCATCGGCGGCGCCGACGGGAAGCAAATCGGGCTCCACATCGAGCCGCATCGGCGATGCATAGGCGATGCGGCGCGATCCTCCGACCCCATCTACTCCGACCCCATCTGGGAGGCCTGGAAAACCACCCCACGGCGTAACCACACCCTTTGTAGTCGCCGAGAAGGACACGACCGACACCGTCAGAGAGCCACGGCCTTGGCGTCCGCGCCGGCGCAGAGTACCTGACGGCGGCTGGCCCTCGGGCGCCCCAGGCGGCACGAGGCTCCTGCCCGGGTGGGGCGGCAGGCAGGCCAGCGAGAGCACGCAGCCCAACAGGCGCGGGTGGCGCGCCAGGCATCGAGCACCGCTGCGGGGCCAGGGGGCACCCATGGCACGAGGAGAACGATAACGACGACGACGACGACGACGACGACGACGACGACGACGACAGGCTCTGGACCACTTCTGGAGAACTCGCTCTTCTTCCCGGATCCTTCTTGGGCGGCTCCGAGGCTGTAAAACTTCTGCCGCGATCTGTTCAACACGCGCCACGCTGGATAGGCGATCGGCATTTTGTCCATGCCCCTGCTCGCGCCCCGACGCCACGAGGAGCCCGAACAGGGATACAGAGCCAGTGTGCATCCATGTCCTGCGTTCACTGGCGCCCGGAGTGGGAGGCAGCAGCATCGGTGAGGACAGAACGCCGATCGTCGACTGTAATAGGAGGAGGAGGAGGGGGAGGAAGAGGAGGAGGAGGAGGAGGAGCAGGAGGAGGAGGAGGAGCAGGAGGAGGAGGGGGAGGAAGAGGAGGAGGGGAGAGAGGAGGAGGAGTAGGAGGGGGAGGAGGAGGAGGAGGAGGAGGAGGAGGAGGAGGAGGAAGAGGAGAAGAAAGTCTGCGGACCGCACGACGCCCCCTTCGAATGCCCAGTTTGGAGAGCCGGGAGGAGCCGCGACGGCGTCAGGGGGACGCCGTCGGCGGCTGCTGCGGCGGCAGACGGAAGGTTGAGGCCAGCTCGCCGAGAGCTCCGCAGCCCGTAGGCGGGAAGGAGAGACCTCCTCCTCCTCCTCCTCCTCCTCCTCCTCCTCCTCCTCCTCCTCCTTCTCCTCCTCCTCCTTCTCCTGCTCCTCCTCCTCCTCCTGCTCATCCTCCTCCTCCTCCTCGATTTCGGGCTCCGGGACCCTCACAGATCGATCCGGCTCGAAAAATGATGCAGAACGATGGGTGAGGACGGGAGAGGACGGCCCAGGAGCCCCTGGACTCGTGAGGAGGTCGCGACGGGAAGCTTCTGGCCATCGTCGGCCACTCGAGTCGTGAGAAGGTCGCGGCGGGAAGCTTTTGGCCATTTTCGGCCTCTCGAGTCGTGAGAAGGTCGCGACGGCAAGTTTCGGCCCATTTTCGGCCTCTGGGGGCCCTTACCGACCCACAGGACAATCCAAAAACAACTCAAGATGAAAAAGAGGGCCCGGATAACAAGTCGGGACCTCTCGGGGTCCACGTCATGAGAAATCACGACGTCGGGGATCTGGGGAGGAGGTTTTGAGAAGATGTTGGCTGGTTCGACGGTGTTCCTAGGGACTCTTCGAAAGAGAGATAGGGACGGGGCGGAGGGACCAAGGACGGAAAGAAAAGGAAGGAAAAAGAGTAGGGTGAGGAGGAAACGGAGATGGAAGAGAAGGACGGGGAGAGATGGAGAGGAGGTGGAGGAGGGACGGCACGAGGATGAGAACGAGGGAAGACACAGGAGGTGAGAGAGGAGGAGGGAGGGCTGAGATGAAAGGAGTTGCACTGGGGAGGAAGAGGACAGAGTAGAAGGAGGAGGAAGGAGCAGGGGGGACAGAGGGAAAGAAGGAAGACGAGGGAGGATGTGGAAGGAAGTGGGGGAGGAGGAAGAGGAGGAGGAGGAGGAGGAGGAGGAGGAGGGAGGAGGGATGGAGGAAGGAGGGAAAAGAAAGGAAGGGGCAGGGGAATGGAGGCCAACGACAGGGGGAGCGGGGGGCCGCGGCGGGTGCGGTGGAGGCTTGGACAAAAAATGATTGCCGACGCGTGATGACAGATGAATCACGCAGCTACTGCTCAAAGACAGCCCATCGGAACCGCTTCTTCGTAACACGAGACAAACAGCCCCCTAGAGTGACCCACGATGCGGCGACGAGAAGGCGCATCGAGCGAAAATCACGACCGACCCCGTCGTCATTAAGGCATACATACGACGCCCAAGCGTGAGGGCTCAAACTCCGCTCACACACGATTCCTGGCGTCCCCAGGCCCTTCCTGACTGGATGCCGCCCACCTGGAGCCAGAGCAAATGAGGGTAGGGTCTCGCATCGCATCGCCGACGCAGTGGCCCTGCACCGGCGACGCCAGGATCGAAAACGCCGCGCCACGACGCGGGGGCGCTCAAGCTCGCAGGATGCCTGGCGGACCCACGCCGTGGAGACCGCGCCATCGATTGTTCACGCGGCCCGCGCGGTAGCTGAAGCCAGGGCACGCGCCATCATGACAAGACTTTGCCTCCATCGTTCCCCCGAAAACCTCCCAAAACCTCCGAACGTTTCCGACACCCTCCGACAACGCCTTGGCACCTCCGAACACCCCATAACATGTCCAGGCCCCCTCGGATACTTTCGCAACTTCCACAATACCGAACGCTTGAAGACAACAGCAAGAACAAAATCGAGACCCCCGAAAGAGCTCATGAAAGTTTGAGTATGCCCGACACACACCAGTTGTAGCTGAACACCTCGCGTGACCTCCGAATGCCACCGCAACCACCCGAAGCCCTGCGAATAGCCCCGAGCACGCCCCGAACCCTCCAAACACATCAAACCATCCAAGCACTGTCGAACCTATCCGCAAAGACTTCCGACTGCATCCGCAAATCCCAACAATGCTACGGAAACCTCCGACGTGCCAAGAACAGACAACGCACCCACCCAATCCGCGCAACATGGCAAAACATCACCAGCCCCACTGAAGACAAATGGGCACATGAGAAGCAAAATGATACTTCGGAGGAGCACGAAACGACACCGGAAGACGGAAAGTGATAGGGGACAACAGATGGTCGACGACGATTTGGAGAAATCGCCCAGGGCAGTTCCGCACCAACATTAGCTTGGACCCGACACGGAGCTGGGCCGAGCGGCGGCCAGCCCTTGGAGGGGGAAGCCCCTGGCCCAGCACCGCAGGCGCCCATTGCAGAGCGCGCCGACGACCAGCTCCCCCCCCCCCGCGGCCGCCGCGGAGACTTCAACCAGCCCCAAGCAACGACAAGCGCCCCCCACGGCGCAGGGCGGCGGGCGGGCGCAAACGGGACAGCCATAGGCCCTCAGGGGCCCCAGAATGGCAGGCGGGCGCGAATGCGCCGACAATCTCCGCTGGGTCGCCGCGCTCCCCTGTCACTGAATCGCATTGCTTTGTTCCTGCGCGCAGCACTGCTCGAGCGCAGCTTCGCGCCGGCAGGGCGATCCGCGCGCGCAACTCCCCGCGGGGCCTCTCGGCGCCCCCCCAACCGCTCAGGCGGCGCGAATCAGGCAGGAGGGCACATGCGTTCAAGAATTCGCCACTGGCGGCTCACGGAGCGGTCCGAAGCTGCAAATTTCCATTGAAATCCTTCATTATGGCCAAGCTCATATTGAATGCACTCAGACAGATCGCTAACGTCTCGCGGGCTTCCCCGCAGAGGATCATCATCACTTAATTCCATGTTCGTCGGATTTCCAACAACCCGAGGATAAAGCATCAACTGTAGTTCCTCCTCTGCCGCAGGAATAGTGCTTTCTGAATCCGCGGGCGCCCCCGCCATTTCGCCATCTCTTTCGGCGGGCACGTGGAAGTTCTCGACAAGTTCGATATCTGCAGGTTGCCCCGCGATGGGCATAACCAGCCAGTCTGCCAGATCGATATCACTGTGGCCAGCGAATACCTCCTCGAACAGCTCGTCGGAGCAATTCCCCAGGTACATACTGGCACTCAAGCATTTGGCAGCCATGAAAATTCGCCGGCCCAACGGGCCAGAGGCGTGCTAAGATCTCCGGTAACTGGTAAACAATATTTCTAACTCGCGCGCGCGCGGCGGCCCCTGGGAGTCCCCGGGCGAAAAGTACCCCGGCAGGTCCCCGGGGGGACGGGGGACAAAGATGCCGGACCGAGTAATTTTTCAACACCCCCCACGAGGATCGCGGCCTCCGAGGGGGGAGCCGCAATCGACTACACCCCCCCGCCCCGCCCCAAGAAGCCCCCAAGAGCCCCCCAAGAGCCCCCCAAGAGGCCCTGGGGGGCCCCAAGACGCCGCCAAGGAGCCCCAAGAGACTCCCAAGAGGTCCCCAAGAGGCCCCCAAGAGGCCCTAAAGAGGGCTCCAGGGCCGGCGGAATGAGCGAAGCGATTAAATAACAACTGCAGTTGAGCTATCGGCAGGGCCAGCTAAAAGTGACCCCCAGTCAACACACTGCATGTCAGAGCCAGTTTGAGCCAGATGCATCGACGGACCTCTGCCTCCCCCATCGCCCCGAGGGCATTCGCGGCGAAAGTGCTGCGTGCTACGGCACATGTCGCACTCCATAGCTTTACCATTGGCATACTTCGGGTTTCCCCGACGTCCCTTACCCTTACGATTCCTGCCTGCACCTAAGAATATCTCTCCATAGCGTGGCCCGGCAAGGGATGCTGGGAATGCTAATATGCCTCTGCCATGCAATCTCCGACGCTTA